TTTATTATAAACTTTAGAGTTATTATGATATACTTTTATGATATTTTGATCCACCTTTGATTTTGTTTTTTTTTTTTTTTTTTTGCAAGCAATTTTGATTCTTTTTTGAACTATTTTGATTTACTTTTGAAATATTTCGATTTAATATTAATTTATGTTTATTGTATTTACTTTTGAGATTTTTTATAACTTTCATTTGTTGTTCACCTTCTGTTAAGAACATCATATTTTGGCAATCCAAGGAAATTGCAAGTAAAGACAACAAAGTTGCAGTGAAAAATCGCTTATGGATCAACATTCTAGCTTTGATGTCCATAAGCATGGTTTGCAACTAAATTTAAAATTAAGTCTATGTTGCATTTATATTACAAAACTACTGCATAAAAGTAACATGATCACTAGAAATAAACTCTTACATTGTTTGTATATGCAGGCGTCGCTCGAAGTGCGCCAACGTTGAGCATGTTGTAAACGTGCTTGACAATCATATAAAGTCATATTCGATTAGGGACGAAAAGTAGGTAGCCCCTAACAAGTTTTAAGGAACTTGTAAAGCCGATCATGGGTCATTTAACTAAAGGCAACCACGAAAAGAGACAAACCAAAAGGCAACAACAATTTTATCCATGAAGGTTAAAATGTTGGGTTTTACTACGATCTAATCATCATGTAGAAACCAAAACTGCATACGATCAATAGATATAAAACACATACGAGGTTAGACGTATACCTTTGTAGCGTGCTTGACCTCGAACCCAAGCCGAGAACCCCAAATGTAGCCCCTCTAACGAAGTTCACCCACACGTCCAACCTTTGTCCTTACGCGCTAGCTTAGAGCTTGTTAAGACAACGACTTGAGATATAAACTCTCGGTTCTCACGATCAGATGGAGATCCCAAGAATCAAATTCTCTTGAAAAATCCCCAAATCCCATGGGGTATTCATAGAGGAAGATCACCATCTAAATTCCAAAATCCTAGGTATTTAATTTAATTCTAAATCAAATTAAATAGCACAAACAAATAGTTAAGTGCCATTTGTCGTCATACAAGAGTAGGGAGGTGGGAGGACCACCTACACCCTTGGGGAACAAGGCAAGGCTGCCCGCCCCTTGCTCGGTCAGCTGGGTAACTGCCCGTGACTTGGGCTGCAAGACTCGCCTAGCTATCAGCCTTGCTCCCTTGGCTAGGCCTGCCAGCCTTACACCGCAAGCTCATCACTGGGCTATCCTACTACGCGCATCGCCAGGCGCAAGCACGCTAGCATTGTTAGCATGTGCTAGCACCCAACCAACATGCTAGCATGTGCTAGCATGCGGCAACAGCACTAGCAAGTGCTAGCACCCAACTAGGCTTGCTAGCTAGCTGTAAGCACGCAGCCAACCAGCACTCAATTCGCCCCAGCATGCTAAGCCATGCGAAGCTACTACTACTAGGCTTTTACTTGGGTGTGACTCATCGGGTTCAGTCAAGAGCAACCTTTCCCTCAAACGCGTGGTACGACATGTAACACCCCAATAATTCTCTTTTTTTTTTTTAAAAACCTGCATTAACCTATAATATCCTGTAATAACCTGTAATAACCTGTATTCACTTGTAAAATACTTTTAATAACCTATAAGAGAATTACTGGCGTGCTACCGCCACGTGTTCAAACGTTAAGGCTAGTTTCAGAAATTAGCAGCGGAAAACTAACTTAGTTTTTAAAAGATTATAAGTTTCAAAACTAAAAGTCAAAACCAAATTTAGTCTTACAAGTTGGAACCATAACAGCCCTTATTCAAAACCTAGTAAAATAGGAAGTAAATAGAATTAGTGTCAAAATAAAATCAATTTATGAAATGAAATAAGCTAAGAGATTAGCTTACGCTCGACTCAAAATCCCATCACCTTGATGCAAGTTTAGTTTGTGTAAAAACCTGTGATAAATCTGCTCCCCAATTTTACAAGTTTAAGAATTGGATCATTACAGGGTCATTGAAAGGCGAAGGCCATGACCAAGAAGAAACATACTGAAGCACGCAATCAGCAACGCTGAGTACATATAAGCTACGAAATATAGTAAAGAGCCCTAGCATGTTACTAAAAAGCATTCTGTACACTCACAATATAATCATTGACTAAATAGCATTGATCATTTCTTTAATTTGGTTGGATTAATCAATTGACCGGGATGTCCCCCTATGCCCCATTTCGGAATATTAATAAAAGAAAACCCTATGCCTCCTTTCGGAAGACATTAATAAACATCCAATGGCAGACGGGCATGACTCCGTGGCCATAATTAGTATGAGATTTCATCTAACTCATTATAATTTTAAAAGTATTTGAAAACAAGAGACTCGTAGACCAGACGGCCTCTGAAAAAGTACACGGCTAATACCTCGTGAACCCCAACCCCTGTTTGTCATTACTCTAGATGTGCACAAATCCAGAGTTTTATTGCTCATCCTTCTTGCACTTTACGTGATTTACCAGTTTAACTTGGTGATGACTCAAATGCAAAACAACACAACCAATCATACATCAATCATTCAAATTATTCAAGTTTCCAATTCAATTCTTAATTTATTAGTGACAAACAATATTTATTATTTCATCCTTTAACTACCTCGGTGTATAAACACCTTAAGTGCACAAGGCACCTCAAATTCTCAACCTCGTCTTATAAGACTTTAATTCTTCCTTTACTTATTCCATTTTAATATAAATGAACAAGTAACAAAAATAGTTCATTCCATATATCCTTATATCTTTGCCTCTAAGCTTACTTTGCAAATTATTTCATAAATAATGCTCATAAGGAAAATCAATGCAAATTTCTCGTACATAATTAAACCAATCATCACATTTATCATCAATCAACTCATTACCAAACAATTTCAACCAATCCACAAGTTCCCTAGCACGATTCTAGGTTTTTCCAAGTCCCTAAACATGCTCCTAAAATCAAGGTTCCTCGTATTCTTATACGTACCTTGAGTACACGAATTGGTTGGCCACCTTCAGACTAGAAGTCACCTTCTACAAAGTTCTCTCCGGCTGGTGGTGGCAGTAGGTGGCGAGGGCAGCAGTGCAGCGAATTTTTTTTTTTTTTTTTTGTGAGTCTTGAATGGAGACGAGGAAGCAGTAGAGGAGGAGTAATAAAGGGAAGGCAATAGGAATAGTTATACGTGGGTTTTGAGAAAATTTTACTTAATTAAAATGAGGGTATGGGCTTTTTTTTTTTTGTAGAATTAGAATGGTAGTCATGGCCCAAAGTGAGTAACTATGCTATTGAAATATAAGTTATCGTTTCTATTTTGTCAAATCTTTCCAAAATATTTATATAAATATAAAATTATTAAAAATATTCGTATACATAAAAATATATAATTATTATTTACTAAGAAAAATATGGGGGATTACAATCTACCCCTCTTAAAAGAAGTTTTGTCCCCGAAACTTAACCCAAAATCCTCAAAACTCTTACGTTTTGTATTGCTGTAAATTGCTTGTTTCTTAATCATATATGCCTAACAAACTGAGCTCATACTCAATAATTCGTACTTAGCCAAAATTTACGTACTTTATTAGCATGAAAACACAACAATATTTGGCAATAATAAGCAAGATCATGCAAACTTAAAACAATAAATGGCATAAATGAGGTAAAAACCCGAAATCACACTGCATTCTACCCCTCTTAAAAGGAAAGAGTTACGCCCTCGTAACTCACCTCATCAAATAACTCGGGGTATTTCCTTCTCATCTCTTCTTCGGCCTCCCAAGTAGCCTCTTCGTACTCATGGTTAGACCAAAGAACCTTCACTATCTTCACATCTTTGTTCCTAGTACTTCGCACTTTGTGATCTAGGATTTTCACTGGTCTTTCTTCATATGTCAAAGATTCATCTAGTTGGATCGTCTCTGTTTGAAACACATGGGTTTCACTAGGCACATACTTCTTCAATTGGGAAATGTGGAACACATCATGCATTTTCTCGAACTCCATTGGAAAAGCCAACTTATAAGCCACTTTTCTCACACGTTGTAGAATCTCATATGGCCCCACATACTTAGCACCTAGTTTCCCTTTCTTGCCAAATCGCATCACGCCTTTTGTTGGTGAGACCTTTAGAAAGACCTTACTTGTCCCCAACATTAAACGCATCACCTCTTCTCTTCAAGTCGGCATAACTCTTTTGCCTATCTTGTGCCGCTTTAATTCTTGACTGAATCAATCTCACCTTACTCACCATATCCTCAATGAAATTTGTTCCCAAAGTAACACGCTAACTGCAATCATTCCAGCACACTGGGCTTCTGCACTTTCTTCCATACAATGCTTCGAAAGGTGCCATCTTGATACTCGTGTGGTAACTATTGTTGTAGGAGAATTTAATAAAAGGTAAGTTATCCTCCTAACTCCCTTGAAAATCCAAGGCACAAGCTCGCAACATATCCTCCATGGTTTGGTTGGTTCTCTCAATCTGGCCATCCGTCGCAGGATGAAAGGCAGTGCTCATCTTCAAGGTAGTCCCAAGGTTTTCTTGCACCTTCTGCCAAAACTTAGATAGGAATCTCGAATCCCTGTCCGACACAATGTCCTTGGGAATTTCGTGCAAATGAACCACTTTCTTCACATAAGTACTTGCCAATTGCTTCTTTTTCCAGGTCTCCTTGATTAGAATGAACATCGCTGACTTAGTAAGTCTATCTACAATCACCCAAATCGTGTCATTCCCACTGCGAGCCTTTGGTAATCCTGTCACAAAGTCCATGGAAATAGAATCCCATTTCCATCCTGGTACCTCGAATGGTTGTACTTTCCCCATGGGTCTCTTGTGATCTATCTTCACCTTCTGGCATGTCAAACACTTAGACACGAACTCAGAAACTTCTCTCTTCATATTCGGCCACCAGTAGAACTCTTTCAAATCCTTATACAGCTTATCTCCCCCAGGGTGAACTGAGTAAGGTGTGTTATGGCACTCCTCCATGATTCTTCTTTTTATATCCTCACACTTCTGCGGTATGCACCATCTCTCCTTGTATCTCAGACTTCCCATCCTTATGAATCTTGAATTCGGTCTCTGCACCGCTAGTCACTTTATCCCTAATCTGCTGAAATGACTCATCCTCCCCTTGTTTTTCCTTAATCTCCTCAAATATGGATGGTTGAATAGTCAAGGCACTCGGTAATCCTTCTAACTCCCCTTGACTAAAGACTTCAAGGTTCAGTCTCCTCATCTCCTCACACAATTCATCAGCCACAATCAAAGCATTAACATTATGACTCGACTTCCTACTAAGCGCATCTGCAACAACATTCGCCTTTCCCTCATGATATTGGATGTGTACGTTGTAGTCTGTGAGGAACTCTAACCATCTACGTTGCCGCATATTCAAGTGATCCTGGGTGAAAATGTATTTCAAGCTTTTATGGTCTGTAAAGATCTTGTAGGTGACACCGTAAAGATAATGTCTCCAAATCTTCAAGGCAAACACAACAGCTACAAGCTCCAGATCGTGTCTAGGATAGTTAACCTCATGTGTCTTCAACTGTCTCGATGCATAAGCGATCACTCTCCCATTATGCTGCAGAACACATCCCAGACCATGCTTTCAAGCATCAATGTATACCTCGAATCCGTCTCTCCCATCGGGCAACACTAGTACTGGTGTTGTGGTTAGTCGCTCTTTCAGGGTTTGAAAAGCAAATTCACAGCTGTCGTTCCACTCAAACTTAGTTTGCTTCTTCATAAGAGCGGTCATGGGTCCGGCTATTCTCGAAAAGTCTTTAACAAACCTTCTATAATACCCAGCTAATCCCAAGAAACTACGAACATCGGTCACATTCTTAGGAGTAGGCCACTCACTTACTGCCTTGATCTTTGCGGGATCTACTGATACACCCTCCTTAGAAATGTAGTGCCCTAGAAATGCAACCTTTTCCAACCAGAACTCACACTTTGAAAACTTGGCATACAGCTTGTTACTTCTAAGAGTTTCTAGAATGGTTCTCAAATGTTGAGCATGTTCCTCCTCATTCCTCGAATACACCAATATGTCGTCAATGAACACAACCACAAACTTATCTAAGTATTCATGAAACACTTGGTTCATCAAGTCCATGAATATGGAAGGTGCATTGGTTAGCCCAAATGGCATGACTATAAACTCGTAGTGCCCATAACGAGTTCTAAAGGTTGTCTTTGGAATGTCCTTATCTGCAACTTTCAACTGATGGTACCCCGACCTCAAATCGATCTTTGAAAACACACTCGCCCTCTTCAACTGATCAAACAAATCATTTATCCTCGATAAAGGGTACTTATTCTTCACAGTCACGTTATTTAACTCTCTGTAATCAATACATAGCCTCAAACTCCCATCCTTCTTTCTCACAAACAAGAATGGTGCTACCTAAGGTGATGCACTAGGCCTAATAAACCCCTTATCCAATAACTCTTGCAATTGAACTTTCTGCTCACTCATCAGCTGGTGCCATTCTACAGGGTGCTTTAGAAATAGGTGCAGCTCCTGGAATTAAGTCAATGGTAACCTCAACTTCCCGTTTAGGTGGCATCCCCGAAATCTCATCCGGAAAGACATCTAAAAATTCATTCACAATGGGTACATCCTCAATCCGCCTTTTCTCACCCTTACTCAAATCTTGGACACAATAAAAGTACAATGGATACCCCTTACTCACCAACTTCTTAACCTTTAAAGCAGAAATGATCCCAATGCCCTTCGGCTTCCCAAAACGTCTATAGGACACCGTCTTACCCAAAGGATCACTTAGGTGCACTCTCTGTATCTCACAGTCTATCTTAGCCTTGTATAAGCTTAGCCAGTCCATCCCCAGAATGACATCCAAGTCCCCCAAGTTAAACTCAATAAGATTCGATGGGAAAACAACCTCTCCTATTTTCAAAGGCAAGCCTTTGAATAACCTATTGCAATGAACAAGTTTGCCAGTCTGCCTACTGACTGACACATCGACATGACTCGACTCAGATAAGTTTAATTTGCGTACAACAGAAGTAAAGATGAAAGAGTAAGTTGCTCTAGAATCAAACAAGGTTTTAACATAAACAGAGTGAATAGAAAAAGTACCGGTGACTACATCTGAGGACTTTCAGCCTCTCCTTTGCTCATCACAGACAAGCGCCCTGGAGTGTTGCTTTTTCCTTAGAGACCATTGTTGCCATTGCCAAAGTTGCTATTGCCATTTCCAGGTCTGTTGCTTCCATTACTGTTACCATTCCCGAACTTCCCATTCTGACCATTGCCTCTACCTTCCTAGTTATGAAAGTTGTTGGGCCTCTGCTGGGTATTCCCACTGTTTCTTTGTTGGTTCTGCTTGGTGTAACACTCATACTCCCTATGCCCCTTCTTATTTCAAAACCTACAAGTCACCAAATTTCCCTCGTAGTCTCTCCCACGGTGGTTTCTCCTACACCTCTTGCAGTTGAACTTCCTCTCCCCATTGTTAGCGTTGGAAAATCTGCTAACATTCTGGTTATTCCTCTCATATGGGTTCCCATTCTTAAACCTCTTGAAGTGACCCTAGTTTTCAGAATTCCCAAAGTCCTTCCCTTTCTCCCCAACCTTAGCACTCTCCCCCACATCCTTAGAGTTCAGGTGGTACATGTGTGCAGCTCTCTCATATACCTTATCTAATGTCTTAAAGACTTTCCCAGCTAGGTCTTTCTGCAGCTGTTTGGTCAATCCCTGTTCAAACCTCTAAGCCTTTAGTTCCTAAGTCGGTACAACCTCAGGGGCAAACCTGGCAAGGGTCATAAACCTATTGTAGTATTCTGAGATTGACATTTGGCCCATCTCTAAGTTAATAAACTCTTGAGCCTTCTGTTTCTTCAAAAACGGGGGGTAAAACTTATCCCTCAATGCAGTCTTAAACACTTCCCACCCAAATTTTGGCTTGGCCTTAACTATTTCAGCATTATCTCTCCACCAGATATCGGCCTCATCCTTGAGGTACATAGCAGCTTGGTAAACTTTCATACCCTCGTGACAATTCAATGCCACGAATAGCTTATCAAACTCTCTAATCCAGTTTTCCAAGAAAGTAGGATCAGCACCTCCCTTGAAAACCGGTGGCCTAACTTGAGCCAACTTTTTAAACATCTCAGCATGGGGATCAAGTTGGTCAGCTCGATTCTGATTCAAATTCTCAACCAACATGCAGATGGCCTCAGCTAAAGCAGCATTATTCGCCATTCTAGTTCTATGCCTGAAAGAAGGTAAACTTTTACTCCAGCTTAAACAGAATTCAAACATCGTGCGCATATATTCATTCAATTAAATACTACATTTATCACATAAATTGGTTCAAAAGGGTACCTTAGTATTTGCACCCCTTCGTCCTAAGCAAAATCAAACAATAATAGCACAATCCACACGCAGGTTTAAGTAAAGTCAAGAAAAAAAAAATAGTTCCCATCCCGCGCCACTCTTACTCAACTTAATCATAAACAAAGAAATTTTCCTCAAAATTATATGTAATCACAGAACTTATATTAGTCTTAAATCAAACACAAAAAATCAGAAATGGAATCCTTATAATAGAATAATAACTCTTATTATAAATCCAATAAAAGTATCAATCCCAATCCAAACTCTGTAGCTCTAGCTACTAATTAAAATCCAATAGTCAAAGTCAAAACTAAATGAGGTTCTAATAACCATTATTGATAGCAAAACCTTACTAAGACTAACTATACTCTAATAAGTCTAATCTGTAAGGGGCTACATTAGAGTTCTTGTCTTTCTCTTCATTATAAGTTTAATATCAAAAATAGGATCATTCTCATCTTTGGAGTCCTTAATAACAGCTTTGTAAAGCGGATTCAGATTCCTAGTAGTCCTCTTCCAAACCTGTGGTTTTGGTGGTTCTAAATCCTCTTCGTCATCTGATAACTCATAAAGGATTCTCCGAATAGCCTTCTTTCTGTTTTTCTTCTTAGTCATCCTGTACTCCTACCAACGTTGGTATGTTACCTCTCTTTCATCATTTTTATTTGGATGTAAAGTCCACTCATCCCAAGAGTCTGTGCTGTAATCGGTCTCCTCTTCTTGCTTAAGAAGAGTCACCTTCACTGTATTTTTATCCATCTCTCTACGTTATCCCAACATAACAAGCATTCGAAAGGCATAACATGAACACATCAAGAAAGAAATTTAATTAGAAAACTATCACACAATTTATTAACTAAGCAACTTGCAAAATAATTAAATAAATGCGAAGTAATCAATATGCATGCATGCCCTTTCTAATTCTACCCAAATCTTACCAAATAAATAATTCAAGTTTCAAAATTATTTTATAAACATTTAAAACAAATAGTTCAAACACAGTTAAATTTAAAATCATTTTTTACTTTTAAATACAAAATCCTTAATCGATTAGTTAGGTGCCTAAGACGTACTAATTGGCTTTAGTGGTAATTAAATCTAACCTAAGCTCCCAGATACCACTTCGTAACACCCCAATAATTCTCTTTTTTTGTAAAACCTGCATTAACCTGTAATATCCTGTAATGACCTGTATTCACATGTAAATACTTTTAATAACCTGTAAGAGAATTACTGGCGTGCTACCGCCACGTGTTCAAACGTTAAGGCCAGTTTCAGAAATCAGCAGCGGAAAACTAACTTAGTTTTTAAAAGATTATAAGTTTTAAAACTAAAAGTCAAAACCAAATTTAGTCTTACAAGTTGGAACCATAACGACCCTTATTCAAAACCTAGTAAAATAGGAAGTAAATAGAATTAGTGTCAAAATAAAATCAATTTATGAAATGAAATAATCTAAAGGATTAACCAACGCTCCATTCAAAATCCCATCACCTTGATGCAAGTTCAGTTTGTGTAAAAACCTGTGATTAATCTGCTCCCCAATTTTACAAGTGTAAGAATTGAATCATTACAGGGTCATAGAAAGGCAAAGATCATGACCAAGAAGATACATACAAAAGCACGAAATCAGCAACGCTAAGTACATACAAGCTACGAAATATAGTAAAAAGCCCTAGCATGTTACTAACAAGCATTCTGTACACTCACAATATAATCATTGAATTGAACACATGACTCAATTGTTAATCATTACTAAGTTATCAATAACTAGCACTGATCATTTCATTAATTTGGTTGGATTAATCAATTAACCGGGATGTCCCCCTATGCCCCATTTCGGAACATTAATAAAAGAAAACCCTATACCTCCTTTCGGAAGACATTAATAAACATCCAATAGCAAACGGGCGTGACTCCGTGGCCATAGCTAGTGTGAGATCTCATCTAACTCATTATAATTTTAAAAGTATTTGAAAACAATAAACTCGTAGATTATACGGCCTCTGAAAAAGTACACGGCTAATACCTCGTGAACCCCAACCCCTGTTTGTCATTACTCTAGATGTGCACAAATCCAGAGTTTTATTGTTCACCCTTCTTGCACTTTACGTGATTTACCAGTTTAACTTGGTGATGACTCAAATGCAAAACAACACAACCAATCATACATCAATCATTCAAATTATTCAAGTTTCCAATTCAATTCTTAATTTATTAGTGAAACAATATTTATTATTTCATCCTTTAACTACCTCGGTGTATAAACACCTTAAGTGCACAAGGCACCTCAAATTCTCAACCTCGTCTTATAAGACTTTAATTCTTCCTTTACTTATTCCATTTCAATATAAATGAACAAGTAACAAAAATAGTTCATTCCATATATCCTTATATCTTTGCCTCTAAGCTTACTTTGCAAATTATTTCATAAATAATGCTCATAAGGAAAATCAATGCAAATTTCTCGTACATAATTAAACCAATCATCACATTTATCATCAATCAACTCATTACCAAACAATTTCAACCAATCCACAAGTTCCCTAGCACGATTCTAGGTTTTTCCAAGTCCCTAAACATGCTCCTAAAATCAAGGTTCCTCGTATTCTTATACATACCTTGAGTACACGAATTGGTTGGCCACCTTCAGACTAGAAGTCACCTTCTACAAAGTTCTCTCCGGCTGGTGGTGGCAGTAGGTGGCGAGGGCAGCAGTGCAGCGAATTTTTTTTTTTTTTTTTTTTGTGAGTCTTGAATGGAGACGAGGAAGCAGTAGAGGAGGAGTAATAAAGGGAAGGCAATAGGAATAGTTATACGTGGGTTTTGAGAAAATTTTACTTAATTAAAATGAGGGTATGGGCTTTTTTTTTTTTGTAGAATTAGAATGGTAGTCATGGCCCAAAGTGAGTAACTATGCTATTGAAATATAAGTTATCGTTTCTATTTTGTCAAATCTTTCCAAAATATTTATATAAATATAAAATTATTAAAAATATTCGTATACATAAAAATATATAATTATTATTTACTAAGAAAAATATGGGGGATTACACGGCAAGGTCTCGTGCTAGGCTTGCGAGCCTAGCATATTGTGTCACCCAACGATTTTTTCGTTTAGTTGATTTTTCGAATCGCTTTAACATTTAAAGCTAGGTTTCAACGCTCTAGGCTCAAAATCCGACGTTTAAGTCTAAAATATAATTATCGACATATTTAGGCCCTCCAGCTTAATCTGTCGCTCCGATTTATTACGTGCTTGGGTACGACCCGTCGATTCAGTTAAGAGCAAGTTGTGAGATTAATTATATTAATCTTATTGATCGGAAGCAGCCTCCAGCTAGGCATTCTGATCACTTGACTTAACTGAACAATTAGCTTCGTAATTAATTCTGAACCTTTTCTTGGTATAATACACTTGTTCGAAGGACACCATTCATTTCATACACCCCATTCATAATGCAGGAGATTACTAACTCCATACTAGCCTAGTCTTGAACCATGACTAGATATTCGAGGATGATAATCGGATTGAGTCATGAAGTTAATTCTACTCGTACTTGTACTCTACTCGATTCTTTTAGCGTCATACATTAACTACAACCCAAAATACATACAAACGAGATTCAATTCACTCCAAACTAAGTAATCTAAGTTCGTTGAATATTTAATGCACACATAAAACTAATTATTGTGATTAGAATTAAACAATAAGAGTACTAGGAACCTAAACCGGTTGTCTAAATTATCTTATTAGGCATGATTTTCAATTACAAGTCTTGATTAAAACATGCAATTAATAAATCAAATAAGCATGCAAAGAAATATAGAATCAACTCATTCATAATTAAATAAGTAATTAAAGCATCCTAAACATGATACTAATTAATTATTAATAAAATCTTGTGCATGATACTAACGTGATTAATATAACGCCTAAACATTATACTAATAATTAAAAGTAACGATTCTAAACATGATGCCAGTATTCAAAGCAGTAAAAATAATTAGAGTAAATAAAATCAAGAGAATTTAATACTCACTCCAAATGTGCATCATTGAATACCCACATCATGAATAAATCGTCATTAACTTCAATAAAAATAATAAATTAAAAGAATTAAATTAAAGTGTTAGAAAAATTGATATCACCCTCGGAATTTTACCTTCCGCCTTGGTGAAAAAGGTAGAACCTTCGAATCTTGTTTTGGACTTTGAATTACTTGAATAGGATTAGAAATAAAGCTTGGAACAATAGAAATTGTACGTCGAAACTTTATGATTAAGTCTTTTGGATCATATTGGATTGAAAAAATAGTTGTCGGAGTCTCAGATTTGCCTCTTAAAAATCAGAAAATAGGGTGGTATTTATAGGGCAAAAAAATCGGGTGAAGATAGAATTTTAAAAGAAGATAGAATTTTGAAAGCGCGTCGCACGGGTCAACAGCTTTGCACTTTTTGTTTTTATCATAACTTTTTATCTCATACTCGTTTTAAGACAAATAATATATTGTTAGAAACCTATAGAAGTCTATTTTGCAGCCCAATTAGAATCAGGTCAATACCTTTTGTTAATTGAAAGATATTGTCAAAATAGTGCAGGAGTGTTGGTTTTGGATTGAGTATGGTATTTCGTTCATATCTTTTTCATTATAACTCAGAAATAAACTTATGATATATCATTAAAAAGCTTATTTCAAGGGTATGTAATCCAACCATGTAAGATTTGCTTAAATTTATGAGTCACAAAAGTCAGATTTGCTCGATTTCAGGCTCTAGTTACGAAAAGGGAAAATCATGCTATGAAATATGGATTTTGGGCTAATAAAAGTGTTTGGGCTATTGAAATGGCTAGAATGGCTTATGAAATGATAGAAAACGAAAATGGCATAGATTTCTTATCAAGACTCAAATGTTCCTTTTTTTCATATTCTACTCGAATCAAATGGCGATGAAAAGCGAGACATATTTAGGCATCCACAGTATACTTTATAGCTAATTTAATTCTATGTTTAGTTATTTTAATTTACTTTCCAGAAATTTTAGATTACTTAAGTGCATTTTATATTTACTTTTATTGATAACTCTATGCATCCGCTACCACTTAACCTTGTAGGTTTACTATAAAGTTTTTTTTATTCACTTTAGCTTCTTTTTTATTTACTTTTAGAGACAACTAATATAAGAATCGACCTAATAACATTGTTAATTAAATATAATTTACAAAAAAAATAAAAAAATAAAAAGATATCAACAAAAATGTTAATTTAATAACATTGTTGTTTGATAATGACTTTAGTTCTTGTTTTAATTTGAAAAAGAATGCTGAGCATCAGGAGTTTAGGTCTCTGCAACTATTTTATTAGCCCACGTATTAACATTAAATTTCACATCCAACAAAAACAAACTACTCAAGGACTAAGTTATAACTTATAAGGAATAAAGATGTGAACTTATCTAAAGATGAAGCACATAATATAAAACAAAAACAAACTACTCAAGGACTAAGTTATAACTTATGAGGAATAAAGATGTGAACTTATCTAAAGATGAAGCACATAATATAAGCAATGTACCTTGATTAGAATATGAACAAAAGCATATTTAATTTACTT